GTGTGTCTCGCATATCTATATATTTCTGTCATTAAGCTCACGAGCAAAAGTCCATAAGTGCTTCAGAAATGAGCACTGAGAAACATACACTCCTACTATACTTACAATGAGCCTATTAACTCTGTTGTTCATTACAGAGATGAGATTATCTGAAGATAGTTGTCTCTCTATTTTGCAACTTTTAAGTGCAATATTTTAATCATAAATAAATCAATCCTACTACTAATTATAAGCCCTCCCATTACTGGCATATAAACCTGATTAACTTACCATGGAGACCCCACATGCTTTTTGCACCTTTCAATTAACTGAAGTCAAACTAGGCTGGTATCTGTGTGTGTTTGTGTGTGCACAGGTGTGTATGTATTTAAATGCTAAGCAGCTCATACTGGCAAGTTCACATCATCCCGTTTTACCATGGGTGTAAAAATAACAATTGACAAAAAATAAAACTAGAAAACACGAGAGGAAGAAGGAAAGGGAGAATGCTGATATCAAACACAGGAAGAGTTCTAGTACTTAGTCATCCAGCTGCATTTGAATACGTTTTGTGTGTGTGTGTGTGTGTGTGTGTGTGTGTGTGTTTGTACTCACACTAAAGAAGCAGTAATAGACTTGAGTATGGATCCATTAGACATATTTTTGGCTCTTCACCCCTCTGGGTTTTATTGATAACGTTGTGGAAGAGGAATCAGAGTCAATACACTCATTTCCTGTTCTCACACACACACACTTACACCCACACATACAGAGTTCTGTGACTCCTGTGATTCCTGGGTGAAGTGCACTTTTTTTGTGACTGTTTTAATTAAAACATCTAATAACAATGGTTTCAATAACTTTGGTAACACATTAAAAGAAAAAAACACCTAAATCAAAAATTCTAGTGTCTAGTTATCTCTATGGCCTAGGAAAGCTTAGTCAAAATTTGAGAACACGAGTTACTCTCTCTCAAAGCCAGAAGTTTTAAACTTGTGATGTCATGGGGTATAAAGTCTAGACCTGCCCCATAGACAATGAATAGGAGACTGAATTTGTGGACCCACAGCATGTATGTTTTCTTTTTTTATTCCCAAATTATCTTTATTCTATTGTAGTGTTCTCAGCTCTGGAACAGAAAATGTACCCATATACTCAGAAAATTCCCAGGTGGCTACTCTGCAGTGGGCTATTCATGATTATTCTGTAATTTCACTTTGCAGCATTGATGGTAAAAGCAAACAAACCTGTTCACATCCTTTTAAATTCTCTATTTTCCTCCAAGACTTTTCCTTTTCTGGATCTGGATCCATAGCTAGCTCAGCAGGGAGATTCAAGACTAGCTACTGCTACTGACGTTTGGCAACATTTAGAGAAAAGGTGCCAGGCCACAGATGTATGACACGTTTCAGTTAATGAAATGTTATAACATTTTTCTTAACTGGTGTATAGGCTGGTGTATAGGCACATTTTTACAGCTGGAGAATATAAAAACTTCTAAAGGTTTACAACGATGATAAATCTAAATGTTAAAAAAATAACAGATCCATTTCCATACTTTTTTGTCAAAGCCACAGGGAACCACTGGAGAGAGGCTAAAGAGCCACATGTGGCTCTGGAGCCGCAAGTTGCCTACCCCTGTCCTATGACATCACAAGCTTGATTATAAGCACTCTATCTTTTGAATTTGGGAGAGTTGTTCAGGTTTACTAGTATTTTTGACTGTTTTAGACCATGGAAAAACATGAATGAACATGTATGAATTTTGACAATTGGTGCCGTTCCCCTTTAAGTGTTGTGTTACCAGCAGAGCCCATTAAGAGGCCTGGATAATTTTTTCTACAATTTAATCATCCAGGCATCAAAAAAATCACATTAACTTTGATATCAGGTCATAAAGGATACGTTTATCACATCAAATATTAAAACACAAAGCAATTCTGAGCTCATTATGTTTGTTATATTATGACTTAATTATACTAATTATCATGTATTTATAATGTCTTACGAGCAAAAGTTAGTGAAGACCCTGATTAATGTGTTGTCCCTCGTCACAATACATTTGTAATACATTTTCTTTCTTAAAAAAATATTTTTTGATAGTTGTTTAAATTTTGCTTCATCATTTTCACATGCTGCTTTCAGTGAGTTAGTGTGACACCCACACCCCACACACAAGAATGTGTGTGGGGTTGTGGGACACCCACAACCCCACACACATTCTTGTACTTCTATCTTTGTGAGGACCCTCATTGACATGAAGCATTCTCTAGCCCCTTATCCTTATCTTAACCATCAGAACTAAATGCCTAACCCTAACCTAAACCTAATTCTAACCTGAACCCTAAAACCAAGTCTCCTCAAACAGGCCTCTGAAAAAGTGAGGAACGGCCAAAATGTCCTCACTTTGCAAAAATGTCCTCACTCTGTTGTTAAAATACATTTTTCGGTCATCTCTATGTACCGTGTACAAGTATGCAAAAACACACACCAATAGAAACAGCTTAGATGGGGGGATGGTTAAGTGCTGCATCATCAAGGCCTTTTTCCATCCACTTGCTGATCATACACACACATCTCAAACATCCAAGTTAAGGACACCATCAAGAGTCTTGTATATAACAGTTCACTTACACTGACCTACATGTGGTGAAATCCAGTTAGATGTCTCCCTGCTCATCTTGTCATGTCTCTGTACAAAGTTTAGGACTATATCAGGTCATGCATGTAATGAGTACAAAGTGTCCAAATGAATCACAGCCATTAAAAGTCCAAATAAAACAGCTAATGTGACTTTCAGGCTTTGAAAAGTGGCATCAATGTAATTACGTATTTTCCTCTGTTTTACATGCTTAAAATAAAACTTTTATGGGCCTTGGGAGTCCTGTGTATAAGCATACGTCCTTGGCAAAGAGCTCTCAAAAGGTTCAAGAGTTTCTTAGTGTTTTAATGAGAAAACTGTGCTTCTTTTGTTGTGAGTGACTGCAGGATGCAACACTGATCACTACTTTGACACAGCTTGATTACATACGCAGCAGACAACAGAATATGGATACTTCAGAGAGATTTGTCTCTCTCACTTAAACTGGCTCCGCTAAATATCATCTCCTCTTGTTATACTTGCATCATTTATTAGTGACGGTAAACATCCCGCCCTGCTTTTCTCTGATCCAACAGTTTTCTGGCAAGTGATGGGGGTTTTTTCATCCTCAAACTACATGCAAGTTGGAGGCAGATTATGTTTTCTCTCCTGAGTGTCTGTCATCAACATATCTCAGAATGTTAGAGACAGATTTGGCTGAAACTCAGCAGACAGGTGGTGATCTAGATTTGGGATTTACACCAGAACCAGACTGTTCTGAACTATAACTACCCGTATTATGTGTTGCATTCAAGTGCTGGTGGGAAAGCATGAAATCTAGGATGTTGACTTGTGAACAGCATCAATTTCACCTCAAAAATGAAACCCAGTTGACAAACTATAAATAACACTGGGCTGTAGTAGTACTCTATTTCAGACTTTTGTGTCTTTTTATGTAAAACACTACTGCAGGCTGCTAAATTGTTTGTCTTATTTCACCTTCAGTTATTTGTTTATCCATGGCAATGTTCTTATCTACATCCCACTCCCTCAAAAAACCTCCTGTCTTGTCTTAGTCCTATGACAAAGTAAAAATGTCGCCCGAGCTGATCACAGCCAATCTAGACAGCTCTTGTAATTCAGTAGATGCAACGCCGCACCTTTCAGAAGCGTCCCAGAACCTAAAAAAATAAATGCCTCATCTTTTGTTGACATAGCAGCAGTGTGTTGCACAAAGCAGAGTTTTCCTGATAACAGGCACTGTATATGACATAAGATACAATTAAATTATAAGAATTCATGTATTTTTGACGACTAAACCACAGCTACAAATATCTGACCCATGCCGTTCATAACTGAACTTTGAACGGTATTAATTTTGTCTATAAGCTACAGCACAAGCAAGAAATAATAACAATAAACACAAAATCTGCAAGTCTACAAAATTGGGCAGGCAAAACACTCCGCTTCTAAAATGCTCCTGGTGTGGTATGAGACCCAGGTTGCAGTTCCACCAGGTGAAATTGCCTGGTGGTTCATAACATATCAGGTATGGAATCAATCTGCAGTAGCTCTAGTTTAAAATGATACCAAACTTTTCTGTGTGCCACTTTTGAGCCACATTGAAGGACAAAATGTGGCCTGCAACAAACATTAAGGCTTCTTGTTTTTAGCTGTGCCAGTTTCCAGAATACTTGCACCCCTTGCTGGCTAGTAAAGAGGAGTGAGGAGTCAGCAGTCAATGATGGTATTAAACGGTCAACAAAACGGGTTTTTCAACGATTGTGAATCACTGCAACCATGAGCGGTCCTTCAGCATACAGACTTACATGTGCACACAAAATTTTAGGCTGATAGGTCCAGTAGTTTACCAGATTAGCTGCAGAAAGACAGATACACACACTCACACACATATAAACACGACTTTAAATGCATGTTCCCTTCCAGGCTCACACCTCGCAGAGATAAAAAAGAATTCCTGTCCCGTCCCTATTCCGGAAAAAGGACTCCTCTTCCATCCCGATACCATAAAGACAATTAAAAAATGTATTTGAACATATTCGCACTTCATATTTACAAACTTTGACATACTGTAATTATGATTTCTGTCCTGCCTGCTCCCAGTCAGATGAATAGAGAAACTGACTCCCATCCTACAGGATTGCCACAGGAATAACATAACCCACAGGATTCATGTCAAAATGTCAGCCTCTAGTTCACGTATCTTTAATTAAATCATGACTGAGTATTAGGTACATTAACACCTGGACTTTAAAGCTCTTTTCAGGGCTCCTCTCTACCAGTGACATAAATGATTCAAGCCTCTATTGACTGAATTATGGCTTATAGTAGAGGGTCGAGGCTTTTGCAAAAATCAATTTAGTTGATTATCACAAGGGCACACGCACACACACACGCACACACACACACACTTCCTTACCACATTAAAGTCGAGGTTTTTCTCAACCCAGTCCGTAGCAGCCTCAAACTCTTCAAACATCTCCATGATGTAGAGAGTATCCAGAGCATCCACTATTGTTGCTCCCTTTATACTGCCTGTTAGAGAAAAAGATAAAAATGTTAGAAATAGATTAAAGATTTACTAAAAACACATTTTCAAAGGTTGCTGTGTCTTCAGTGGAGAGTTTTACATATCATCCATCTGCTAAACAAAACTAAGAAATGCTGGAAAGGAAGCTGGATACAAGTTTAACTTTTCAAATGAGCAAAAACTCCAATGAAGTTCATTGACATGTTAAAAGCTTGTTAGTCTGCGTAGCGCTCCTTTTATAAGTATGAATGACAACAGGTGTTTGCAGCAGTTCTCACTGAGAGAAGCTGTGAACAAACAGCAGAAGTTGGGAGTTATGTTTGGAGGTTGAATAAATTATTTTGCCCGACAGATGGTGAGAGGCAGCGATTATCGGCACTGATGAAACGCAGGGAATATTGCTCATCTCTAGTGATTAGCCTCATAGCAGGAGGGAAGACACACAGAGACACACAAACCATCATTCCAGCGCTGTCATTACCCAAACCCCTTAACGAATCTAACACTACCTCAGCCCCTCAGTATGCGTATGTGCCAAGGAGCTCAATAAATCAGCATGCAGTACTGTGCCCTCAGCAAAGCTTTTAGTCCTAACATACTTGTTATAAACACAAGACCTCATCCGTCTGAGCTATCTGATCACTTAGAGGTGAAATAGAAAAAGAAAAAAAGCGAAGATGGGGAGGTAAAGAAAGAGAAACAGGAAAGTAAGTAATAAATTAAAACATCAGCGGCGACATAGGGGCAGGGAGTAACAAGAGGAAAGACACTAAAATAGCTATAATATGAAAAAACAGTCCAAGTCAGACCACAAGAAGTTTGAAAATGATGTGCAGAGTCAAGATGAAAGCCAGAAAGCTGCAAGTTTATGATTGTGTAAATCTGTGGGTTTACAGTATTTCCCTCTGTAAAGTAGTGGGAGGATGCAAAGGCAGCTAAAAGCTTTCCATTAGACACAATGCTGAATCATCAGCTACAGGCGCGGGGCCACTGGTGTCCATCAGAACAGAAGTAGCACTATGTTCGCAGAAAATATTGGTATTTCTTTTAAATCACCACAGTGAGATGAGAATGTGGTTACTAGCTGTGAAGACGATCATGATTACAGAGCAACAGACACAAATAACATTTGTGGATAAAGCTGCTGATAGTGTATAGCACATTCATTATCTTTTATTTTTAATCCTAACAAATTCATACCAAAACATATTGTAGAAAGACTCTGAAAAGCTGGGTATTAAAACCTCTTTAATGTCCTGTATAATTCACCTAAATTCACCTAAAACGCCTGTCCAAGGCATACCCAAAGTTAAATGAAAGCTGTTCTTGTTCCATTTTTAGTACAAGTGAGCCCACATACATGGTCTCAATTGAAAGGTAACACTTAAAAGTTTTCCCCCCAACAGTTAGATTCACTCTAAGTGCTTCTGTCATTGAGCTATATTTGTTTCAACACACTGAAATAAAAGGTTTTTCTTTGATCTTTGCCCTTATATTTTCTTGAAAAAAGATGCTGCAGATGACTAGAACTAGGAGGTATTAGCTGGATAATGCATTTTACATATTTCTAAGGTTCTGACCAGGAGCCTTTCAAAAATGAGGGTAAAACAATGTACTGAATGTGTTATCTTGAGTGAAAAACAAGCCAACTGTATACAGAGATGATGAGAAAGACTGTTTTTCTCCTTTAAGACAACAGGGAGCCATTTGTTTATCATTTATGTATAATTAGAACAGCTTAAGATGCCAAGAAAGAGTTAAAAACTCCTCTGGATGTGAGGAGTGTCATTGACTACAAGACCTATAAGCCATTGGGCCAATCGCTGGCTACTGATGGGCTTTGAGGCCTTATGAAGTAAACGAGGGTCTTTGTTTCAACACATGCCCTCATTGGCTATTGAGGTCATGGCAACAGCAAGGAAGCTCCTATTGGCTCAAGTGAGGAGTCAGTCAAAGGTCAGAGTTTAGCCACCATTCTGACATTGAGGAATCAACATCAGTCGAACCACAAGAAGCGTAGCTTTAGAACATTAGGTCGTATGAGTAAACCACTGAAACAAAGCAACTGTTTACATATCACAATAATCAAATAAAATCTCACAAGGGCCCGTGGGTGGGCTGTCGGATTTCTAAGAGGTTTTAAAGGAATAGTTAAATACTTTGCTTTCCAAGAGAAGATATGAAGATTGGTACCACTGTTCTACTGTATCTGCACGTTAAATACAGAGCTAAAACCAGGAGCTGATTAGCATTAAGACTGGAAGTCGGGGAAATAGCTAGCATGACTCTCTCCAAAGCTTGAGAAAGAACTATAACAACAGTTTGTTGATTGTATCTGGCAACTCACAGTTTTTACATTTCTTTCTGAGATACATGCTAAGTGATTTTTTGTACTTACTACCTGTTTTCCCCTGCTTTCAGTGTTTATGCTAAGCTAAGATAATAACCTACTGGCTCCACCATGATACTTAACTCACAGATATGAGAGTGGTATCAACTTGGTGTCAAACTAATTCTTTAAGGAGAAGAAGAAGTAAGATTGACAAATGATAATAATGATGAGGTAAAGGGAGTATCACATGTACTGTGAAACCTACAAAAATGTGGCATTCAAATTTTATAATACAAGTGTGATCAAGCATAAACTTGTAATTTACTGAAGCCTGAAGTCATGGGTTTAGGGAGAGATAGAGAGAGCATGTGACTGGAGGTGTCAGCAGATCTTATTACTGTTGTAGTCACTTATCCTTCCTGTTTTTCATCCATCTCATATTTTCACTCCATTGAAGCCTCCAGAACGACAAAAAGAGGACAAGACACTTTCTTCCTGTCCATTGTCTTGTCACTGTGCTTCCTTCCCCTCACTGCTCATCCTGTATCTAAGAGTGTATGTGTGTGTATGTGTGTATGAGTGTGTATGATGTGATGGGTACAGATGGTCAAAGAGTGAGAAGGATACTAATACTTAGTATAAAAAATGAATATGTTAGAGTGGAAACGAAAGATATGTGAAAAGAGTTATGACATGTCCTTCTGTAAAGGGTATAGCCCCTTTTAAATGAAATTTGATTATATATACAGTACAGGCCAAAAGTTTGGACACACCTTCTCATTCAATGCGTTTTCTTTATTTTCATGACTATTTACATTGTAGATTCTCACTGAAGGCATCAAAACTATGAATGAACACATGTGGAGTTATGTACTTAACAAAAAAAGGTGAAATAACTGAAAACATGTTTTATATTCTAGTTTCTTCAAAATAGCCACCCTTTGCTCTGATTACTGCTTTGCACACTCTTGGCATTCTCTCCATGAGCTTCAAGAGGTAGTCACCTGAAATGGTTTTCCAACAGTCTTGAAGGAGTTCCCAGCGGTGTTTAGCACTTGTTGGCCCCTTTGCCTTCACTCTGCGGTCCAGCTCACCCCAAACCATCTCGATTGGGTTCAGGTCCGGTGACTGTGGAGGCCAGGTCATCTGCCGCAGCACTCCATCACTGTCCTTCTTGGTCAAATAGCCCTTACACAGCCTGGAGGTGTGTTTGGGGTCACTGTCCTGTTGAAAAATAAATGATCGTCCAACTAAACGCAAACCGGATGGGATGGCATGTCGCTACAGGATGCTGTGGTAGCCATGCTGGTTCAGTGTGCCTTCAATTTTGAATAAATCCCCAACAGTGTCACCAGCAAAACACCCCCACACCATCACACCTCCTCCTCCATGCTTCACAGTGGGAACCAGGCATGTGGAATCCATCCGTTCACCTTTTCTGCGTTTCACAAAGACACGGCGGTTGGAACCAAAGATCTCAAATTTGGACTCATCAGACCAAAGCACAGATTTCCACTGGTCTAATGTCCATTCCTTGTGTTTCTTGGCCCAAACAAATCTCTTCTGCTTGTTGCCTCTCCTTAGCAGTGGTTTCCTAGCAGCTATTTGACCATGAAGGCCTGATTCGCGCAGTCTCCTCTTAACAGTTGTTCTAGAGATGGGTCTGCTGCTAGAACTCTGTGTGGCATTCATCTGGTCTCTGATCTGAGCTGCTGTTAACTTGCCATTTCTGAGGCTGGTGACTCGGATGAACTTATCCTCAGAAGCAGAGGTGACTTTTGGTCTTCCTTTCCTGGGTCGGTCCTCATGTGTGCCAGTTTCGTTGTAGCGCTTGATGGTTTTTGCGACTCCACTTGGGGACACATTTAAAGTTTTTGCAATTTTCCGGACTGACTGACCTTCATTTCTTAAAGTAATGATGGCCACTGGTTTTTCTTCAGTTAGCTGATTGGTTCTTGCCATAATATGAATTTTAACAGTTGTCCAATAGGGCTGTCGGCTGTGTATTAACCTGACTTCTGCACAACACAACTGATGGTCCCAACCCCATTGATAAAGCAAGAAATTCCACTAATTAACCCTGATAAGGCACACCTGTGAAGTGGAAACCATTTCAGGTGACTACCTCTTGAAGCTCATGGAGAGAATGCCAAGAGTGTGCAAAGCAGTAATCAGAGCAAAGGGTGGCTATTTTGAAGAAACTAGAATATAAAACATGTTTTCAGTTATTTCACCTTTTTTTGTTAAGTACATAACTCCACATGTGTTCATTCATAGTTTTGATGCCTTCAGTGAGAATCTACAATGTAAATAGTCATGAAAATAAAGAAAACGCATTGAATGAGAAGGTGTGTCCAAACTTTTGGCCTGTACTGTAGGTCTGGGTGATAACATGATTCATTCCCATTATATAATGTTTTGGGTCAAAATTTCTCCCAATGAGATAGTGTGATACACAGTTTTAATGTTGGATCTTTTTCTACTAAAATCTGCCATCATTCCAGATCCTTAATATTAATACTAACTGAATAGGAACATTGTGGATAACATGAAAATGACATTCAAATCAAAAGTTAACTACAATTACCGCCCCACAGTTGTATGCCTCCGAGCACCAGTCAAGTTTCTCTTATAGTTTACATCCATGTCTGTGAAAACAATGATGTTTCACAC